AAAGAAAGAAAGAAAGAAAGAAAGAAAGAAAGAAAGAAAGAAAGAAAAACATATACACTCTCAATAGATTTAGGGCAGGCCTCAGTCTTCAACTGTATACCCTCCAAGTCCACAAGGCTCCAATGGATAGCTCCTGACCCAGTCAGAAATAGCTCTAGTTAATCCTGATGAATCACCAAACAAAACAAATATGTATGAACTTGAGGGAGGAATTTGTGAGGATGGAGAAAAGAGGAGGCACAGAGATGGTAGGCGAGCGTGGCCAGCGTGCCAGGCACGCATATGTGAAACTGCAAAAGCCGTAATAAAAACAAAACAAACATGGCTACAGGTGTCACTCAGTGGTAGTCATGCTAGCATGTGCCAGACCTTAGATTACGTAAGAGAGGGGACAGGAGATAAAACGCAGGGAATCACATGTGTATCTCCCAAACAGGATCGCAAGTCTAAAGACCTGGCATGAAGTTGCAACCTTCCAGTGGGAGGCCCTGGCATTGAATCCCTAGGAGGCATTCTGGAAAGGGGACATATGTGCCACAGCTGCCACAGCTGCCCGGCATCTCAGCAGGTGCAAATTCAGCAAGGGAGAAGGTAGAAGCCAAAGAGAAGCAAGAAACCCGTGCCTGTGGCTCAAGGGAAAATCTGTTCTGGATACTGAGATAATCTTTCCCTCCTCATTCTCCTTCCCCCACCCCGCCAGCCATCCCTCCCCCCAGCTGCAGAGCATGAAAAGAGAACACATCTTTCTGAAGCATATCTTTATTCCTCTTCTCTTTGGTTTCCTACTTTGGTTTCCACGTGTGGGCTACACCTCACTGCATCTCGCAGCGCGAGTGAGCTGAAATCTCTGCTTCCAAGAACACGGAGGAGGGCATCTTTTTGAATCTGCACATGAAGACAACGGGGTGAACGGCAACTGAGTCTGCCAGGATGGGAGCACTAGTACACAGCTCCTGTGGCTGTTCAGGAACAAGACCAGTGCAGCTAGGAAAAGCACCACCCCCACCCCCCAAAATTGAGAAAGGTCAGCAGAGCTGGTGCAACAGAACATAGCTGCATCCCCTGCCCCTAAGGGGTGCTACGTCTTGGTCCTGACAAATTCTGAAATAACAGAGATCAAAACCAGCAGTGCTATTCTGTGGTCCCAACTGCTATGCGAGTGTGGCTCATCTGGGGGCCCCAGAGTTTCCTGAAAACCTCCCTCAGCAAGACCTAGCATCCTTGGCCTTGTTCTAAAATGTCTTGCCCTCAAAGGCTTTCAGATTGAAGGCAGTATCCAGGAACTTCCTCAGTGACACCAAGTGAGCATTCTTGTTTCCGGTGGCTGGTGCGGCTGCCGGTTCCCGGCCAACATACCTAGAGGGGGAGAGTCAGATGAAGGAAGGGCTGGGCTTAGCTGCACAGTATTTCTACAACTGCAGGGTCACGCACACGAGGAAGACTGCCTGCCTGGGCAGTCCGCTCAATGCACCGTGGGCCTACGAGCTCAGCGACCCAGCCGCAAGACAGGGAGAAGCTGCCGGCTCCATGACCATGAAGATAGCAATTGTGCCACACCCTAGAGACTTTGGGAGCAAACACCCTTTTGGTTTTTCTACATTTTTTTTTACCCCAGTCCCATCTTCTCAAAGACAAAGATGCTCACCCAGAGCACCAGTGGTTACCACCTGCTAGGTACCTCAGGAGGCTGGCCTGCACACACAGCTAATCCTATCATTTTCTGGCAGCATCAAGGTGGGAGATTTGAGTCACACAACAGGGTCTGAAATTTGATCCTGGCCGCAGAATACTTAGGTTTACTGTCCTTGAAGGTCACACAGGCAACACCTCCAACCCTGATATGCTAACCTGGAGACCAAGCTCAGAGCCTACAGGGACTTACACGCTTGCCTGAGGAGGGCAGGGGCTAGTTCTGGGTGGCACCAATGAGGCAGGATCAGCCAGTATGGGACTGCCAGGCTTAAGAGCCAAAGGTCGGCTAGGAGAGGTGGGAGGTAGCTAGTGAGCTGTCTAGCCCAGTACCATATGGGCCGGGAGCGGCCAAGGAGAGTCATGAAGCGCGGACTGATGTAGTCGTAGTAGCCCATGTTCTTATGCTCTTCCTGACACCACACCAGCTCAGCACCGGAGTATTTTTCTGCCTCCCGCATGATTAGGTCAAAAGGGAATGGAGAGATCTGAGGAGGCGGAGATACGAAGGCATGGTCAAGGAGGGACAGCGTGTGCAGGGCCTTGGCAGTCACGCCCCACACTGCCCAGTGCCAGGGGCTGGTGAGTTGACCCGTCCAGCTCTACCAGCGCTCATGCTCAGCAAACCTGCTCCAGGCGTGTGATGGCCACTTGCTGCTCCAGGCCCTGGCTGCTGCGCTCCTTCACCAGGTCATAGTACACCTTTCCTGTGCAGAAGATGAGCCGCTGGACCTGCTCGGCAGCCCCTGCCGCAGGGCCGGCTTCGGGAATCATCCGCTGGAAGCTTGTTCCTACGGGATGGACCAGGGACCTCAGGGCTATGAGCACCCAGAAGGGCAATGGGACACTGAGCACCCCAACCCTCCCTGTGTTTTTCTAGGCTACTGAGCCGATTCAGGTCAGGCCATTTACATTAGACAGTGTTTGACCCACAAGATGGACTAAAGGACAGATGATACCCTAAGTTGTCACAGGGAGAGAGCAGAGACAGGTCTGTGTACAAGAGCAGAGCCCTGGGAACACAAACATGCAGGGTGTGGGCTACAGGAATGGCGAGGACAGGAAGGACAAGGAAGATAACATGATGAACCCATGACAGTGCCATTCTGCTCCAGAGATGATCCCACTATGCCCACACCAGGCGTGGCACTCAGCCCCCACGTGCCAAGGTGAGAAGCTATTGAGAGGCCACGGTACAGTCCTCCTCCTCCAACCCTGCAGCAGAGCCTCCACCTCCCAGCCTTGGCCATTTCTCCCTCCTGAAGTCAGCACGCTGCGCAACTCCCCAGGAAGCTACTGTGATGTGCCTGTATCACCATGTCCTGAGGACACTGGCGCGCAGAGGGCAGGGACAGAGCTGCTGTCCGCCGGGGCCCAGCCACACTGGGAGAGCTCTGACGGCCCACTATAGCCGCCTTCCCACAGTGGACACACACAGATGAAAACAAAACAAAAAACAACAAAGCCCACAACTATCCACGCTGCTGAGGCCCTGACTGGCTAAACCCTGTCTCAACTACTCAGGACTCAGCCAACCCAGATCTTCTCTGTTGGCCACGGGGTTTCATTCTTGTGCCTCTATGGCTCCCTTCCAGGGCACATTTCAAGTCTCCATGTGCTTTACATGGCCCCTGACTTTCAGGTCAATGAAGCTGAGCGCTTTGGGAGAGGTCAACCAGGTTCCCGGTAATGTCTATTTGGTTCATGAGTGAAAATAAGATAGATGACGGATGGATGGATGGATGGATGGATGGATGGATGGATGGATGGATGGAT